GTGGCTACACATTGGACTGCTAACGGCAAGGCCAGCAATTCAAAACCACCAGCTACTCCAAGGGAGAAAGAAGATGCTTTTGACTCCCATAAAGCGTTACAGCAGGGACTTTGGAAGCACAACAGGGGCAGTTCTACCCTGTTCTAGAAGGTTACAATGAGTCCGAATCTACTAGATGGCATTGAGGGAGAGTCGCCGTCCGCTTATTCAAAATGAAGAGGACGCAACACATTTACTGGTGAAGATCAAAGAGTAGGGCCTTCTGTGTGGATTCCACCTCAGTATAAAGGAACCCAAACCTCACAACTTGACCAATAAACAACATCATGATAAGTGGAGAAAGTACTGAAGTTGTCAATGGTTTCACTTTACTTAGATCTGTAATCAGTAACCCTAGCAATAGCAATTAAAAAACGAAGGATACATTTCATTGGGAAAATCTGCTATAAAGATCTCTTTAATGACATCACTTTGAGGATTAGGGTGTGCCTGACCGAAGCCCCGGTGTTGTCAATGGCTTATGTGCGTGGGAAAGCTAGACACCGGTTAAGGAAGACTGCAGGATCGAGGCCCTTGAAGTACGCTGGAGGCAGATTATTAACGGGTCATGGATTGCCAGGAGAACAAATAAAACTCTGCTAAAAGAAGTATAGCCAGAATGCTCCTGGAAGAAAGGATGGCGAGACGTTGTCACAAGCACTTTGGGGATGTTTATCAAGAGAGACTAGTCTCTGGAGAAGGACATCCTGTTCGGTAAAGTAGAGGGTGAGTTAAAAAGAGGAAGATCCTCAATGAGAGGGATGCAATGGCTCAAAGATAAAAGCAATTGTGAAGATGGAGCAAGAGCAGACAGTGTTTCCTTCTGTCTTAGACAGGGCTGTTAGGGTCTGAAGCAACTCTGTGGCACTTAACAGCAACAGTTAGGGTCCAGAGTCCTTGGGTGTTCTAACAGTTAAGTGCTTAGCTGCCAACTGAAAGACTGATGGTTTGCACCCACCCAGGGGCACGTAAGTAGAAAGATCTGGCAATCTGTTTCTAAAGGTCACAGACATAAAAGCTCTATGGAGTGAAGTGCTATTCTAAAATGGATGTGGTCACCATGAATTAAAATCAACTCAATGATAATTGTTTTTTGTCTTTGCTTCTACTGATTAGCCGCATCCCTTTTATGTAGCTGTGGCATTTAGGGTCCATCAATTTTAAATCTCTGTCCTGCTCCATCCCTGGGGAAATGGCTCTATTGCAGCCATTATACAACTGGAGGCCAGAATGAATATCTAATATAAGGAGGCCATTGAACTCTGTCTCTATCCTTCTCAAGGACTCTCTAATTGAGTCATGTGAATGCAAGTCCTTTTAATTCAATGAAAGACAATTGCAGAAAGTGATATGAACTTGTATAATAAAAATTGTATTGAGGTTGATCATCCAACATGATTTTAATACATCCTTTTTTAAGGAAACTGGTAATTTTCCAATATAGTTAAATAAACAAAATCCACTGTAAATATGGTTTATTTATATACGTTTTAGCCGGCATCATTACACCTAAGAATATTAATATTGTTAAATCTATCCTTTACTCAAGTTAGAAAATTATTTTGATTGAAAAACATTAAGTCCAGTAATGTAGTTCCCATTTATTAGAATTTAGGAAGAGTTTTTAAAAAAATAATCTTAGAAGTAACTAGCTGAGACTTTATAGGCATCTCATGCAGCCTCCCCACTCTGTCCTTTTCTCGACATAATGGCAAGGCAGTTAAAACTTTAAAAAAGAATTACTTCCATCGAAGCTGACAGCTACTTTTTGCATTTTGTAGCACGACCAAGTCTAGATCATGAAATGAGAGAGAGCTGCAGGAACCTGAACCTTAACTTCAAGTTCTTGATCCCTGATTCAGTGTTCTTTCAGAAACCATTCGCTTCGAACAGTAAGAACATTTTAGAATTCAGCTCTTCATTCATTTGGACTCCATTGTATCATTGTATTGGGCAAGTCATGCAAGATGCCTGGTCCCTTTATGAGAGCCAAGTTGACAATTTCCTTTGACTGATTTCTTATGGATCAGTTACCATTTCACATTACATGACACCATAATTCTTTCTGCAGTCAACTGGAACAGGGCTGGCATTTGATGATGCGTGGCCAGAAGCCTATGAGGTAGCCTGGTGAAAGAACTTTCCCCAAAAGTAATGCCATGTACTAGATGGTGACGTCTTT